TGTGGCAGAGGAAGCTGTACCAGCCTGAGTCCCAGACCTCCAGAAGAGTTACTTTTCAAATGGAGCATCATCTAATCTCCCACAGAAGGGAACAGGGCTCGCCTCCATGCATGTATCTGTTGCAACTCCATAGACTGAAGTAGCTTTGTGCTTTGGTAGGCTGTGAAAAAACTTGTTTCACGGGGGTCAGAGCTCTTGGTGTCTTCTAGGCTAAATGAACTGCCATTCTGTGAGCTCTGAGGCCGTGTTGGTGTGCCGGGGTGGTGGCGTGCCCTGACACTGTCCTTGCTGCCTGCAGAGCGGGCGCTGTACAGCCTGGAGAGTGCCTTCCACCCCGTCTTCAGTCTGACCAGTGGGACCTGCAGGCTGGACTATCGGCGGCCTGAGAACAGGTATGTGGCACGTCTGCCCGCCCCACGTCTGCTGGAGAGCTGTCACAGCATGTCCTGGCCTACTTTGGACACACAGACCCAGATTCCCAATGTCTGCTGTGTCATCCGTGGTGGCGGGGGGACCTTGAATGTCCCTTTCTGTCAGAGCAGGTTCTGGCGGTCGGTGGCAGTGCCCTCAGCAAGGCAGCAGCTCCTGAGATGGGTGCTGGAGTACAGGCAGCTCTTGCTTCTTTACCAAGCTCTTCCCAAGCTCTTTCCCAAGGGATTTCTTACTGTAGCAGTAGCTGCTCCTCCCTGTCACGTCCTTCTCATGTGACCAATCCCCCTTAGTCCAAAATGGCATTTATTTTCACTATGTGTTTATGGCTGTGCTTGGTCACTTTGCTGCCTGCCTGGCCTTGGTCCCCAGCACTCGCCTGGCTCTTTACATAATGACAGCTCTGCAGCTGCAGGGAAAGGTGACTTTATTCTGGGAATTTTCCAGTCAGCTGACCCATGTCATCCCTCCCGAACTGCTGTACCTGGAAATTGCTCACATTTCCAGGACCTGCTCGCTGACAGGCTTTGTGCCATCCGTGACCTGAACGCTACAATCTCTAACACCAGTTCGGGTGCTAATGCTCCTCTGGTGCGTGTTGTGCACACTGTGTCACTCTCCCTGTAGCTGGTCAGTCTGGGACAAGGTAGGATGCAGACTTTGGGGGTTTACTTGTTTTTGTTGTCTGAGTTGCCAGCCGTAGTCTGCAGAGCCCAGGTTTGCACAAAGAGATAAAAGCAGTAAGAGGTGGGAACGTGGAGAGGTCTGTGGCACCCTGTAGTGCACCAGGCCAGGTTCCTGGGACCCTGCAGGCTGCACCCCAGCACTGATGCTCAGGGAGCTGGGGCTCACTCCGTGTCCTCATTTGTGAGCTCCAAATCTGGCTTCTAAAACCTGTTGCTGTTCCCCACACAGGGCTTTCTTCCTGGCCCTCTTCAAGCATCTGATGTTTCTGGAGAAGAGAGGCTGTCCCCGCACAGCCCTGGAGTTCTGCAAGCTGATTTTGAGGTAGGGCTGTCCCCTATTCGTTCCCTGTGGGACAGGGCAGGGCATCCCAGGCTGGGGGGAACATGCTCCAACAGCACACCAAACCTAACTTCGGCAGGAGAAAAACCCCAGAGGTGCACTGCTGCTCCCAGGCTCAGTGGGGGCTGTTTCCACTCCTTACAGATGCAGTGTCACAAGTTAGCTTTGGGCACATCTGTGGTGCTGCTTTGGAGAGAAGTGTTTGTGGAGAAGGAGGTTTAAGCAGACGGGACGAGGGTGGCCCTTGCGCTTGACCACTGAGGTGTGTGCCTGGCTGGTTGGTAGAGCAGAGCTTGGAGTCTCTGTGGAGCAGATGTACAGTAGTGGCTTCAGGCTGCTCAGTTTGTGGCCATCAGTCCCCTTCTTGGGTGGTAATGGGGGACTCTTACCCCTCTGCAGGGACACAGAGAGGGCAGGGCATTGAATCGTCATCCTGGCCATGCGGGAACAATTGTGTTCCTGTTCTCTCCACTTGCTGAGTCACGAAAGTTCTCTGGATGCTAGTGGGAAAGTCTTGTTTGACTTAGAAACGAGGGCAGCTATTTCAGCTGTTGTGACACTGATTTTTATTTCCCTTCCTTGCGTTCTCTCCTCCTGAAGCCTTGATCCAGAGAATGACCCACTGTGTGTGCTGCTGATGATCGATTTTCTGTCCCTCCGAGCTAGAGAATACACCTTCCTGATCCGCATGTTCCAGGAGTGGGAGGTGAGTTGCCATCTGGCAGCCCTGGTGAGAGGGACAGAGGGGGGAATAGCTGCTTCCTAGGGCTCTCCCCACTTGGGCTTTGCCACAGACCACGGGAATCCTGGCCAGGTTAGCCCTTTGCAGCTGTCTGGCAGCCAGGCTGGCATCCCAACAGCATTGGAATGACCTGTAAAGGCTGTGGAGAGTTGTTTTTGTAATCCTGGTACCCTGCAAACAATTGTACGGACTCAAAATTGCTTACTCAGTGGTGGGGGCACCAAGCCAGCAGCTGGAAAGTAACTTAATTGAGTGAACAAGAGCCTGTGTGCAGCCCAGTCCCATCGAGATGGTTCTGCATAGCATCATTTCTCGGTAAATGTGTCCCTCTGATCTGCAGAGTCACCGGAACCTGTCGCAGCTGCCCAATTTTGCCTTCTCGGTGCCTCTGGCCTATTTCTTCCTAAGCCAGCAGGAGGAGCGCTCCGAGCTGGAGCTAAGCCAAGCCCGGGAGAAAGCTGCCCGGCTCATCCAGCTCGCGTTGGTCATGTTCCCAAGCGGTAAGTCTGTCCCCACCGGTAAGTCTGTCCCCGCAGGCTTTGCCACTCTCTCCATCTCTGGGAGCGCTGGCTGGGTCCCAGGCACGCAAATGCAGAGGCAGCAGTTTGCCTGTGCCTTGCAAATGACATTCACCTCTGTCTGTGGGAGATGGTAGCTGTGACTCAGAGGGTGACCGGGCAGGCTGACCATGGTGGCAGGTAGAATCCCAGACTGGTTTGTGTTGGAAGCGACCTTAAAGCTCATCCAGTCCCAACCCACTTCCACCTTCCGCTAGAGCAGGTTGCTCCAAACCCGTGTCCAAGCTGGCCTTGAACACTGCCAGGGATGGACGGCTGGTGAGGGGCCAGCCACAGCTTCTCTGGGCACCCTGTGCCAGCACCTCAGCACCCTCACAGAGAGGCAGTGGTGGTGGGATTCAGCTTTCCCACACCATGGCAGGGCTGGTGAGAGCGTGGTGGAGCCATGTAGGGTCCCCCGCAGCTGTGAGACCTTGATGTGAGTGTTAGGAAGAGACCAGTGATTGTTCTCCGTGCTGCACACCCTCCTCAGAGCAGCTGATGCCCCTTCATTAGAGATGGTCATGGGCAAGTTGGGGGAGCACAAGAACCAGAGTCTTGGAGCAGGAAAATATTTCACTCCAGGGTTGTCCAGACCAGAGACAGCCAGAGACTCTCTTGGCTTTCCCTCCTAGGCGCTGCTTGTCTTTAGATGTGCCCATCTCTCTTGCTTTCATCAAGCTGGTGCTGCTGTCCATGAAAGGAGATACACAGCCCCTCTGGGCCCAGAGGAGGGTGTGTCTTTATAGGCAAGAATAACCAGCTCTCAAACAGAGGTTTAGTTTTGTGGTGGCTGAAACCATCATTTTTTGTCATGGTGACGGAAATAAAACCCGTGTTCAAGTTCAAAGGCCAGCAGTGTTACGTGCAGAAAATTGCACCTTATTACACCAGGAGGAAAAGAAGTTTGTTGTTCTTTTACATTTACCCTGAATCTGTTTCCATCATCCACACAGAGGTCAGATCAGAGCACAGCACAGCCCCCAGCAGCATCCTCACACCCCATGTGGGTCCTCCATCGGTGCCCTGGAGGGGTGCTGCCCCCCAGGCTGGGGCTGTGTCCCTGCAGCCCTGGCCATGCTGTGGTGCTCCTCACCAGGCTGTTGACAGTGAGTTGTCTGTCTTTCTCCTGCAGTTCTTATGCCATTGTTGGATCACTGCAGTGTGCAGCCTGATGCCAGGGTTGCAAACCATTCCTTTTTCAGGCTGAATGCTCAGATAAGGTAAGTCCTGGAGATGTTCTCAGTAAAGAGAAGGATTCAATCTTACCCATAGTGAGGCTTTTGCTTGCTCAGGCAGCTAATGGAGTTACAAAGCCGCAGAGGAGAATATTTGGTTTTCCTGAGTAGGCTCTTAGATGCTCTGATAATGAATTTCCGTAATGGCCACCAGATAATGCTGATATACCCACTTCACTTTAATGTGGATGGGTCAGAAGTTCATACCGAAGCTTTGTTGCTGCCTGTAGTGACAGGGAGCAATGCATGTGTGCTCTCGGGGCAGGCTGTCTCCTACCAGTCTGGATTTCCCTGATGTGGTCCTCCTAAACACACAAATGGTCTACCCCTCGGGTCAAGGCAGTGTGAACTTTGATCTGATGGCTGTGCTTATCCCAAAAATAGATGGAGACAGAAGAACTGGTGAAGGTAGACGGAAATAACAAAGCAGGGAGCTTGTGTTTCCTCTCTTTGTGTTCTCACGCTGAAGCACAGTGCAGAGACGAGCCCTTGCCAGCCCACACAGGGACCTGCAGGCAGGAAGGAGGAGAGTGCCACAACTAACAACTGTCTCCCGTAGCCAGCCTCCCACCTTGAACCAGCTGACATGCCTCTATGTGGGAAGGACTCACTCCCTGTGGAAGGACCCAGCTGTCATGGCGTGGCTGGAGACCAATGTCCACGAGGTGCTGTGCATGGTGGATGCCCAGGACCCACTGGTGGAGGAGTCTGAGCACAAGTGAGTGCAGCAGGAGGAGGTGAGCAGTGCTTGTACCCAGCATGGGTGGTGGAACACAGGAACAGATTGGGGCAGGGAGTCCCTCAACTACCCATCTGATGGTGGCTGCTGATGCCAAGGGTTACACACTGGGGCCAGGAAGGCAAAAGCTCTTCTGAAATTTTACACAGACACGAATTAAGAGCTGTACCTCTCACTGGGGAGTGTGTGCTGCACGGGCTTCCCCCAGCCTGGAGAGCCTGGGGGCTGCTGGCTGGTAGAGGCAGGGATGGCTCCATGGCTCGCATGCATGTGCTGCACAGGGTGAGCTTAGAAATACTTCCCAGCTCTGAGAAGCAGGAGAGAGACATTAGATCTTGTCCTAAACTGGAGTTAGTTTGCTCTTCTGGCCCAGTGAGAAAGATCTGTACAGTGTCCCTGAGCTGTTCTGCTCTTTGGTCTGGAGGTCAGCAGCTGCCAAGCCACTTTGGCTTCGCTTCAAGCCAGGCCATCCAATACACCGTGTGTCCCCAGAGCCAGGGATGCAGCTGACAATGCGCCTAGAGAAGCAGAAATGGAAATGTGGCTGTGCTGAGCTGTGCTCAGGGCAGTCCTCTGTCCTCTCCCCACTTTAGGAGGAAGATGCGGTACCAGAGTGCACCCAGGAATATCTACCGGCACATCATCCTCTCAGAGATGAAGGAGGCTACAGCAGCTCTGCCTCTGGTGAGTGCCACTGCGTGCACTGTGGTGGCACTCACATCCCTGCTGTGCACACAGGTGCTGGGCATGTATTAAACCCCAAACCCCAGCAAGAAGCATCCACCTGACCCTGAAGTGTCCTCCGTGTAGCTCAGCTTCCCAGGACAGCACACAGGGCGTGTGTGGATAGACTGGGCACTGCGGTCCCCTAGGGCTCTCCGGCTGGTCTGACCATCCCCATGCCTTGGTGCTTGCTGGTGATGCAGCTTCATCTCTTCTTTCTCCTTCCCCCCAGGAGGTGACTTCACAGCCTGTGATGGGGTTTGACCCATTGCCTCCTTTGGACTCCATCATTTCCTACACCAGACCAGAAAGGTACCTCCTCCACTCCTTGTTTCTGGGCTGGCACAACCAGTGTGTTCACAGCACGCCCTCAGCCCCGGGCCTGGGTGCACGTGGGTGCTTGGAGCTGATGGTCCTCCTCCATCTCGGAGGAAGAGCCGCCTGCCTTGCGGCACATACAGGCAGGACTGGTCCTGCTGCTTCTCCACGGTGGTGACCCTTGGGGACGGGGGGGGCGTTGC